AAGATGCTGGTGGATATTGTTAGAAAAGAAAATCGAGGTGTCATCAACACAATTTATACTTCTGTCCATGAACATCCATATTAAAAAAAAAGAAGATACCATGTAAATTTAAAGGGCTTGTTGGTGGAGTTTCTTTTTCTAGTTTTTCATATTTTAAGTAGTTGTTGTTGATATGATATTTGATTGTTATACTTCTTATTTGATATTCAATTCTCAATTGTTTAGTCTTGTTGCATGTCTTTTTGTTGACATCATAAATTGTAAAAATTTAAAATCATATCACATGTAACAAATTTTTAAATGAATGGAGACGATAAAAACATGTCAGATATGTCATTTTGGGTCTCATGACAGATCAATTGTCACATAGGAAAAAAGAGGCAAAAAGATAAGACTTTATCTTTTAATTACCCTTTTTTGAGTCAAATTAAGTTTGTTTTAACTAAAATTTAGGAAGAGGTTTCAGTTTTTAGTGTGAGTTATTAGATCATGGGATATGTGGCGAAATCTAGAAGAAAGTATAACATTGTCAATTGTTGATATGTCCCACTTCTTTAAGAAAATTGTTCATAATTTGTGTAATTGCAGAAAGTAGGAAGTTAAAGTCCGAAAAATGGAAACAAAAAGGAAACTTTGAATCTCAGAACACATGGCCAACCCCTACACACAACTTACAAATTTTTGGACTTTCAATTTCTCTGCAATTGCTTACTTTTCCTTACAAATTTCAAATTTTAGTACAATTCCCAATAGATTTAGGTTATTTTCATCATTCTAATAGTTGAATTAGTTCATGTATTCACTTCAACAATTTTGTTTCATGTAATGAACTTTGAACTTTTGAATTTTTGCAAGATATTGTTCCTTTTCTGACTAGTGTTGATTTAATATTTATAATAACTAGCGTTTTTTCAAATGATTACTTATATGATGTTTACGTTTTTTCTCAATTTCAAGCATATTAGTTTAATTCATCTTCATATTTGTTTTACTGTTAATTAGGGTTAAATTTTCAATTCTATAGTATTTTAATTTCCAGATTTGTCTGTAGTTAGTAATTGAATCTGACAATGAATATGCTTACTTTTTCTCTCACGTTTACTTTAAATTACATGCTATTTAGTTCAATTAGGATCTGTTAACTTTGATTCACGGTAATGTTTAAGTCCTTGGAGTTGTTCAAAGTAGATTTGTAACTCATGTTACAAGAAGGCATCTCTCCCTTTTACAAATTGTCTATAGGTATAGATTTTAATTTTAAACCAACATGCTTCCCGTCGTTCGCAAAGAGGTCAATCATGAGAAAGGAAAGGGTCATTGGGAAAATTCTTTTTTTTTTTTTACTTTCAGCAAAGTAAGTGACACGCCCGCATCCAAATTCCGCACATGTGATGCCACTAGAGGATTTTTAAGGAAATACTTTGATATATATTTTTAATTAATTCCTAGTTACTGTGAATCCTTGTTTAACCAAATGTTAAATTAATTAGATACTTATAATCTGCTGAAGTGTGTAATGTCTAAAGAGTTTCATTGAAGTGGTGCCTCAAAGAAGGCCTCATGCAATTTTGATGAGTTGGAAGGTTTCTTAATGTAGTCAAGTTTCAAGATGAACTAGCAAAGTTGGTTTTAGAATCTATAATGCATGTGCAACCATGCTTAGAATTGGATATGCATCATGTTTGGGCATAAATTTTGAATGGAAGATTTATTTTCCAAGTACCATCTCTAATATCCACACCACTAAAAATCATGACTGGTTTTAATAAGAACCTAATGAGGTGCAGGCGCTGCATGTTGCAATTGCATTTATTGACTGAATCAAGGTTCAACCCTTCTGACTTGTATATGGTGAATTGGTTTCTTAGGAATCTGAACCTTGATCAATTGATCTATTACTACAAAATGCTCAGATCCATGATTAGCTCCAGAACACATTAGCTCTAGAACGTAGGGTTCTTGCTTTCAAACATGCTCACTTCAAAAGACATACAACCATTATAAAAACAATTCAACTAATTGAACTAGAATTGGATATGTCGCCAATTATTATTATTATTAGCTCACTTCCATCATTATTACCATTATAATCTTAAGATGTGCATCCATGCCTGGAATTGGATATGCTTCATGTTTCGAACTAAAATTTAGAGCTAAAAGATTTTGTTTTCCAAATACCATTTCTAATGTCCACACTTCTAAATATCATGACTGGTTGTTGTAAGATCCTAATGAAGTGCAAGTGTTGTGTGTTGCATGTTGCAATTGCATATGATGACTGAATCAAGGTTCAACACTCCTGGTATATATTTGGTTGAACTGGTTTCTCAAGAATATGAACTTTGATAATTTGATCCATCACTATAAAATGATCAGATCCATGATCAACTCCATGACAAGGGGTTTTGCCTTCAAACAAGGTCACGCAGCCATTATAAAAACAGTTATTGGAAGTAGTCGTGAAGTGAAGAATATATAAAATGTAGTTTGCCATAATATGTAGTGAAAGTCTTGATAGGTGTAGCTAACTTGGCCCCCTTTCTTTATCAGTCCACAATGTAGCTATTCCCGTGACTTCCTTTCCAACCTAATAAGGTTGAATGCCTTTGGAGCTATCAATCTAGATGCATCAATATCAGCAATCAAACTTTCTTCAGCAGGAGGAGGAACTGGCTCATTGCCATCACCACTATCATCAAGAGCAAGAATAGGGGGAATCGGTTCACTGTTATCACCACAACCACCAGGAGTAGAGGCATCAACTTTTAAAATAATTGACAAGAATCAAAGCCAAATTAAAAGAGTGAAGTTAATAGCAAATATTAAAAGTAGTTTTTTCTTTTCTTTTCTTTCTTTAGCAACCACAAAATTCCATCAACAAAAGTAACGCTATCTAGCACATAAAGTGAACAGAGTAACATAAAGAGGAAAAGGAAACCATTATGTCTAGCAAAATAGCAGCCAAAGCAATTTCAAACTAATTTCAATCTAAGGAGAAACTAGATGTAATGGAGAATAGAAAAACCATAGGTAGATTGTTACTAAGGTCCAAGAGGATAAACATAGATGAAACCTAAACCTTTCACTTCACTAGTTCACCAACAGCTATATATAGAAGAAAAAACCCAAGAAGAGAATAGAGCATTATGGCCCTCAATCTTCCATAAGAGCTACATTACTATCATAACTATCTCAAGAAGAAAAGAGAGCCCCCACTATAATTCGAATAAACTTTCAATCACCTTTGAGATTTAATTAAGAAGGTAAAGCACTAACTAGATCACTGATACATGAAAAAGGTAGAAAATTAATAAAGATTGCATACCTCTGTCACAAGTTGTCTCCTCGAAGCCTTGCCTCCAGTGGATTTGCAAACAGTTAGCTTAAAAGGCACCACATGGGCTGCAAAACAAAGGAAGTAATCCGAAACTGAAAATTAAAAGCCTACTACAAATTAAATGGTAAGCAATCAAACCAGATGATGTATGCACAACAGTAGGTGGTGGTGCCACATCACTAATACCAGTAAAAGCCTCACCGTCCTCAACAACATCACTTGCAAAACGGAATGAAAATTCAGATACCAAAAGCAATTACAAATCAATCGGAAAAGTGGTAGTAGGACTTCATAGCCAATACTGTCAATAGTCTTAATGTCCCGGCGGTAATCACCATCATTGTGAAAATTGTGCGTGTGGGCTCAACATAAAGCTTGCATCAAACCTAAAATCAATCGACAATAGATGGAGTGGTATTCCTTATATTTAACCCACATATTTTCCCACTTAACATACCCCTTCATGTGCAAGCCCATTCATGTGACTTAATACGCCCCCTTACATGCAGACCCGGTATCAACTTTGGGTCCTATTAGATGAGCTAACAATGGGTTTTCATGGCAGAACCCGAGCTCTAATATCATGTGAAAATTATATATGTGGGCTCAACACAAGATTTGTATTCAACCTAAAATCAATTGGAAATAGGCAAAATGACTTTCCTTATATTTGACCCACAAGTTTCTTCATTATACACTTGATGAGGGATTTTTCCACTCAACACGCCCCCTCATGTACAAGCACGCTATGAATGTCAGCTGTTGTCACGTAGGCGCCTATCACGTGGCTCAATATGCCTCCTTACATATAGGCCCAATATCAACCTTAATTTTGGATCTTGTTAGGTGGCCTAATAATGGGTTTCCCATGATAGAATCTAGGCTCTAATATTATGTGAAAATTGTGCATGTGAGCTTAACACAAAACTTGCATCCAACCTAAAACCAATTGGCAATAGGTGGAGTAGCTTTTCTTTGTTAAGTGGGAGACTCCCACATTGAGTTTAAAACAAAAGTATGTGGGTGAAATATAAGAAAGACTATTCCACCTATTGACAATTGATTTTTAGGTTGGACGCAAGTCTTGTGTTAAATCCACATGCATAATTTTCACATGGTATTAAAACCCAAATTCTATCTTGAGAAGCCCATTAGTAACCCACCTGACAAGACCAGAAGTTGATAATAGGCCTGCATGTAAGGGGACATCTTAAATCATGTGACAAGACTCGATATTCATAGCACCAATTGGTTTTAGGTTGCATGCAAGTCTTGTGTTGAGCCCACCTGCACAAATTTCACATGATATCAGAGCTCATATTCTGTCATGGGAAGCCCATTGTTAGCCCACCTAATAGGACTCAAAGTTGATATCGAGTCTACATGTAAGGGGGCGTGTTAAGCCACGTGACAAGATCTGACATTCATAGCGAGTTTACACATTAAGAGGTGTGTTGAGTGAGAGAATCCCACATTGAATCTAAAACAAAGAAGTATGTGGGTTAAATATAAGGCGAGTTACTCCACTTATTGCCAGTTGGTTTGAGGTTGATGCAAACCTTGTGTTGAGCCCATAACATGCACAATTTTCATATGATATTAGAGCCTAGATTTTGTCATGGAAAATCCATTGTTAATTCATCTAACATAACTCAAAGTTGATATTAGGCCTGCATATAAGAAGGCGTGTTAAGCAAAGAAGTCAATCCCGTACCATACCGGTTTTGACACTTGACCGAAATGGTACAATATTAAATTTCGTTTCGGTCAAAATCCTACTGTTTCGGTCAAAATCCGGTGTACCGGCCAGAATTTCGTGTACCGGCCGGTACACTTCATGCCCCCCCCTAAAAAAAAAGGATTTCCTTGCCCAAAACGACGTCATTTTGGTCAAGGGCTTTTATCCCTGCAAGTATGCAATTTCAGATCAAGCATACTTTGCGAACATAGCCTTGCCCTCCGATCCGACCCTCTTCATCGGTGGTGCAGGGCGTGCAGCTGTTGCTGCTCCTCCTTCATGTTTTGTGAATTGGCGCCCTAGATCTTGGACTTGGTGAACCGGTGCTGCAAGGCTAGATCTTGCATCTTGTTTCTCTTCACCCGTCTCCAGCAACCGAGCGTCATCTCCAGTAGCCAAGCTCTGTTCACCCGTCTCCAACAACCGAGCTTCATCTCCAGTAGCCGAGCTCCGTCCCCAACAGCCGAGCTTCGTGTCCAGCAACCCAGCTCTGTCTCCAGCAACCCAGCTCTGTCTCCAGCAACCCAACTCCGTCTCCAGCAGCCTAGCTCCGTGTCCAGCAGCCCAGCTCCGTGTCCAGCAGCCCAGCTCCGTCTCCAGCAACCCAACTCCGTCTCTAGCAGCCTAGCTCCGTGTCCAGCAGCCCAGCTCCGTCTCCAGCAGCCTAGCTCCATCTCAGGTATCTTACATGATTTCCTCTCGCTTCTCTCAGTTTTTATCTTTCTTTGTTAATTTCATTACTAATTGAAATAGTGAATATCTTTCCTTTTGAATTTTGGTGCGATTAATTTGCAATTTGGTGTGAATAAAAATAGTACTGCTTTGTCAAGTTGCTCCCATAATAAATCTGTGAAATTGTGCAATTGTTAGTTTGTTAAATCATTAGGCTCACATGGTGTGGTTGATTGCTGCAATTTATGAAACAGTTGTTATTTTTCTGTTTGTAGGATATCATGAATACTAGTGGTTCTGGCAATGGCACAGGAGACTCTATTGGATCAACTCCTTCTAAAACAGATGATCTTGCTTGGGCTCATTGTTTGATTGTCCCAGGCAGAAGGAATCAGACTAAATGCTTATATTGTGATAAGCTCATACTAGGGGGTGGAAAAACTAGATTGAAAGAGCATCTTGCCGGAATCAAAGGCAATGTTGGTGCTTGCAAAAAACTTTCAGCAGATGTGAAGTGGCAAATGCAACAGTTGTTAAGTGAAATAAGGAAAGGGAAAGAAAAGAGACAGAGACTTGGGGATATGGTTGGGAGTCAATGTGATTCACAAATATTTGTTGATGAAGATGATGAAATTGAAGAAAGCCATCGATCTCAATCACATGTAGCACAACAGAAAAAAAATATTAATTCATATTTCGTACCAAGGACAACTCTTGGAGCCCAGAAAACCATAAAAAATGCTTTGCAATCAAGAGAAAAACAAGAAGCTGCTAGGATGGCTATTGCTAGATGGTGGTATGATGCTAATGTGCCTTTCCATGCTACACGTTCAAAATACTACTTGCCAATGTGGGATGCTGTCACATCTATGGGACCTGGTTTCAAGGGACCGAGTTACCATGATTTGAGAGGTTCTCTCTTAAAATGTGTAGTAAAGGAAGTTAATGAATGGCTCTTATCTTTGAAGTCAATATGGAGTACCAATGGTTGTTCAATTATGGCAGATGGATGGACAAATTAAAGACAGCAACCAATAATTAATTTCCTTGTTTATTGTCCTAGAGGAAGCATGTTTTTGAAGTCTGTTGACACTTCTAGTTTGACAAAGGATGCTGATACATTGGAGAGGATGTTTGATGAAGTGGTGAAAGAAGTGGGAGTGGAAAATGTGGTACAATTTATAACAGACAATGATGCTTCATTCAAAGCTGCTGGGAAAAGGTTGGAAGCAAAGTACAGCACATTTTTTTGGTCTCCTTGTGCTGCCCATTGTATTGACTTGATGTTAGAAAATTTTTCTAATGCAAGATACTTTCCTATAGTTGATACTACTATAGGAAAGGCAAGAAAAATCACAAAGTTCATATATAATCATTCATGGGTGCTAGCATTGATGAGGATGGACTACACAAATGGGAGAGATTTGTGTCGTCCTGCTGTTACAAGATTTGCTACCCATTTTTTGAGCATCCAATGTTTATTGAAATTCAAGAAGGAGCTTAGGCAAATGTTTACAAGTGATGCATGGGTTGGTTCTAAGTATGCAAGAAGTAGTGTTGGGAAAGAAGTATGTGAAATTGTCTTGGAAGATAGAGAATTTTGGTCTAATTGCATATTGATTGTCAAAATCAGTGAGCCTTTGGTGAGAGTG